CTCAAGCGGCTGAGACAAAGTGAGCAGCGCGAGTCTATGGCGGCTAGGGCGCGAGTGGCTGAGGTGGCTCAAGCGGCTGAGGGCTGTGAGTTTGCGGGGCTGACATAGGGTATGTGAGATGATGGAAGTGGAAGCAAGTGACACACCGATGATAAAAGTGGCGCGTGAGGGCATATGCGATCTGATCTAAGGACGTCGTTGGTGGCGTTGGAATCATGAGAAGATTTCGAGCACTTTGGTTGGCTGTGTGAAAATTTTGGAGAACAAAAAGGATCTGAACAGTGACGAAACAGAGATAAATACCAGAAAATTTCTGGTTAATGAGCCATAACCTTGTGCTCTGATACCATGTTAAACAAGTTGAGAGAGAGAGAGAGAATTCTCTGTAAAAATTTATTGTATTTTAAATCAATGTACATGGTCTCTTTTATATAGGAGAAAGAAGATAAGATAAGGAAGTCTATAACTATACACAGCTATATATATATATATATATTTAAACCTATCTATCTACAAACAAATCTATCTAGATGTATATACATTAACACTATAGAACAAATTAAATTATGCACTTGGGATCGTATAAAACCAATTGTGGCTTAATGTCAAACACAATAATATCACCATTCTTTGAAATACTCAAAGGCAAGGATCTACGTACAACTTGATCCTCCTAAGAAGCTTATAATCCTAAAAATGCATCTAAGTTGGTAACCAATTTAGTCCAAGACTCTCTAATCCTGTATTCCATACATCGACATTAGCATATGTTTGACCATTGAAAACAAGTACACAAAGGAAGCATTTTGATCCTCCAAAAATCCCAAAACTCCATAGACAACTTCCATCTCCATAATTGGGCTACGGTATCTCCCTGTACTTCTCTTTTGCTAAATTGAAGCAAACAATGCTCTTTAGAGAGCTCAAAGCCTTATACGATTTGGCTTCCCAATGGAGAACTCCATTAATGTATCTACCAGGATTGTATGGATCCAATTACCATTATTGTGAATCATTTCCCCAAAAATAACTATATAGATACTATGACAAGAATAAAAAATAGCTGAACTCTAAAAATGGTGATGTAGGCGTAAGGCCTATTTGTGGCTCATATGGGTCACTTGGGCTTAAAATCATAAAAGAGCAGGCTAAAGTGTGGATTTAAAATATGGGATTAACTCCTCTCCAGTTGGCCCAATTAGAGTGTCCTTTTGTCCTCCTTAGGCCCATCATGAAGTTCACATTGATAATTTAAATCGTTCAATATGTGGAGTTCATTGAATATTTCATTTCTATAAAAAATCACGGCGATCAGATATTAACAATTTATTTTTAAAATTATAGTTACCATTGACACAAATTTGTTTTGTTCAAGTATCTATCGATATTTGATCAAAGTGATTTTTTGTAAGGATGAAATACTCGACAAGTCCTAAATATTGAACGATTCGGATTATCGTTGTTGGTTTCATAGAGGATCCATAGAGCCCAACCTCAAAAATCTTAAGCAAGCTTTGATTGTTATTTATTTATTGGATAAATTATAAATACACATTTTGAAATTTAATTAAAATATGAATTGTCTTTTGTAATTTTGAATATTACATCTGGCTCTTTCAATTTTTTAATCGTATAACAAATTATCGATTTTATTAATAAATTATTAAATCAATTAACAATTTGTTATCATGAATATATTTTATTTAAAATTTTAGGCTATTTTATTATTATATATAAGAGTAGTAATAAATATACCTTTTTTTTGTTAATTACTCAAATAAAAAATTCTAACAATGGAGTTTTTATAATTTTTAAAATTATGGATTTTAAGCAAATCTCAAAAGAATGTATTTATACTATCTAAAAAAAAGAAAAGAAAAAAAGAATGTATTTGAAATTTATTCAAAGGAAAATGTGAGATGGCCCAATTACAATTGATGTTTTGGTGACAATTTTCATGATCATCCTTTGTCATCTATAGAAGGAGGGCTCAGTACATAATCCATTGTAGGTGGTGCCTCTTTGGTGATGGATAATCAGATTCATTGCACACTGCTTCACTTTAACATGTGATGGCATAACGAAAAAAACCATGAATTGCTCACCACCTTTAATTCGATATCCAAACTTTCTTCAACTTTTATATAGCTTTCCCAAACATAATCTCCACAACTCCTAGGATGCCAAAGAAGGTTGGGGTATAAGTAAAATCAATGCCATTAATTTTATTAGTAATAATGATGTATGGAGAATCATTTAATTTCATGGAGCAACTTTCTTCATCCCGAGCTCTATAACAAACAACTCTTAAAGTGAACCTGCAACGTAGTCGTCTTCCCCTTGCACTACTGGCGCTTTTAAGGATATCGAAGAAGACCCTTTTATTTTATAGCTAAAACTATTGCTAACGTCACCAGTATAGAAAAAGTCACCAGCAAGGAGTTGTAACGAAGACGTTGTCATATGAATTTCTAATTAGTAGAGTGCTAGACGAAAATAATAAAAAAAATTAAAATAAATTTTTGTATACAAAATCAACTATAAAATCAATAACATAAAATATAGGTAGAATAATTTGATAGTGAAATTGTATATGTTATGATAAGTCCCACTCTTTTCATGTGATATGCAAGATTAAGATTATGGCATGTCTGACAACTCAATAAAAGTCACTAAAAAAACTAAAAAGCCAACAACTTATATCAAAAAGTCGAGAATTTCCTTTTCTTTAAACTTTTTGTACATGTTTTCGTAAAAAACCAAAAAGTCATTCCAAACATACTAATTTTTTTACCTCATATTTTAGCAAAAAAACTAAAAAGTTACTAAAATAGCTTGTTCTCAAACGGGGCCAGTATCCCCATAATCCTGTTTGATTTTATTTTTTTTTGCATCAAATTAATACAGTGACAAGTTTTAATTTGGGTAAATTACACATTGTAGCCCTGCACTTTGCACCAAATCTTACTTTGGTCCTACACATGAAATTATGATAGTCAATCTCTTGTACTTTTGGTCAAATACCATTTTGGTCCCTATACATAAAATTGTGACAATCAATCCTACACTTCTAATCAAGTGTCAGCTTGCCCTTCTATTACTCAACTATTTAAGTTTTTAACAGAATCTAGTAATGTGATAAACATGTAACTACGAAATGAGGGCAAGAGAAAAAAATCATTCTTATTTCTCACCAATATACAATTTGTCCTACGTGATAAACATGTGAGAGTTATATAATATATATGTGTATGTGCATGTGTGTTTATAAGCTGAAAATTAGGACGAAGAGGTAAGAAAATAAAGCTTTTGAAATAATAATAAATAAATAAATAAGGAAGCAAAGAAATAGAAGACTCTATTACTATGGAAAACAGAATTTCATTATTTTAATTTTTGCAAAACCCTAATTCATCTCTCTAATCGTTCACAATTTGTGTTTTGTTTTAGCTGAATACAATCAAATGTTAATGTAAATTTTGGGACGAAATATGTATAGACGGAAAATTTGTGTGATTTGCTTCATTTGCCCTCATTTTGTAGTCATATGCTTGTCACATTACTGACCTCTGTTAAAAACTTATATGATAGAGTAACAAAAGTGAGACATTGATTCTTGAGTAGAAGTACAAAGAGTTGATTGTCACAATTTCATAAGTACAGGGAGTTAACTGTCATGATTTCATTTATAAGGACAAAGTGGGATTTGACCAAAAGTGTAGAGGGTTGACTGTCACAATTTCAAGTGTAGGGACCAAAGTGATTTTTTTTTTTTTTTTGGCATCAAATTAATACAGTGACAAGTTTTAATTTTATGATTTAGAATTAAAAGACTCATCAAAGTTATTTATATTTAAAAAAAGAAATGTTATATATGTCATATGTTTTTATAATTGTTTTGTATTATTGTCTACATGGATATTTATAATTGGCTCACTTCTTTAGACATAATTATTAAGAAATCAATGAAAACAAATTACATATTGTCATAGAGAAATGCTATATATGACTGATTATTTATCATTATTTTGGAGGGTCAAAAGGCGGAGGTGGTGTCTTTGCTTCATTCCTTGGATGAGTTAGAGGCACATGGAGGTTTGACTGGTGATGATGTGGTTCGCAAGGAGTTGGCTCGACAGGATTTTGTTCGTATCTCCCATATGGAAGAGGTGTGTTTTCGACAGAAATCCAGATGTTTGTGGTTGAAAGATGGGGATCGTAATACGAAATTTTTTCATCTTATGGCTAATGCATATTGACAGGTCAATCAGATCCGTAGGTTACGAGTGGATGGCCGAGAGCTATGTTCGGATGCAGAGATTAAGGAAGGGGTGGTGGGTTTTTATCAGCATCTGTTTTGGCCTTAAGAAGGGGCATGTCGTCCAGGTTTGGAGGGGGTTCATTTTGATATGATTTCGGGAGAGGACAAGGCGATGTTGGAGAAACCTTTTACGAAGGAGGAGGTATTTGAGGCCTTAAGGGCCATGAGCGATGATAAAGCCTCCGGTCCAGATGGCTTTACTATGGCTTTCTTTCAGCAGTGTTGGAGTGTGGTTAAGGATGATGTGATGGCAACATTGGAAGGCTTTTTTGTGTCAGGGCAATTCGAGAAATGTTTTAATACGACTTTTTTGGCATTGATCCCTAAGAAAGGGGGGGTGGAGGATGTTCATGACTTCAGGCCTATTAGCTTGATGGGAAGCGTGTATAAGTTGTTGGTGAAAGTGTTGGCGAACAGATTGCGAGAAGTTTTGTTGACTATTGTGTCTGAGTCTCAGAATGCTTTTGTGGGGGGTAGACAGATTCTCGATGTAGTGTTGGTTGCTAATGAGTGTGTGGGTTCCTGGAATTGTCTACACTGTCCTGGTTTGCTTTGCAAGTTGGGTATTGAGAAGGCATATAACAATATTAATTGAAAGTTTTTGTTGTATATGTTGAGCTGCATGGGTTTTGGTGAGACGTGGCGTCGTTGGATTGAGTTTTGCATCTTGACTGTACGGATGTCTGTCCTAATCAATGGGACTCCAGCGGGGTTCTTTCAGACGCATCAAGGACTTCGGCAAAGGGATCCTTTGCCACCTTTACTATTCATTTTAGTCATGGAAGCGCTGAGTAGATTGTTGGATAAAGCGGTGTGTGCCGGCTTATTGGAAGGCTTTGTGGTGGGAACTGTGCCGGGCGTTAACACACATCTCAAACGGAGCAGGTGGGGTACTTGAGATGTGTGTTGCTTTGCTTTGAGGCTGTGTTAGGTCTCCGAGTTAACTTGCGGAAGTCAGAGCTTATTCCGGTTGGGGAGGTTCAGCGCTTGCTAGTTTTCGTGACAATCTTAGGATACAAGGTGTCAGGACTGTCAGTGTCTTATTTGGGTTTTCCATTATGTGCTACATTTAAGGCAAGAGGAGTGTAGGACGATGTTGTGGAGTGGGTTCAGCGTCGCTCAGCGGGATAGAAAAGGCAGTATCTATCCAAAAGAGGTTGATTGACGTTAATCAACAGTGTGTTGAGTAGTATCCCGACCTACTTCATGCGTGTGCATGTTATTCCAGTATAGGTGGCATAGCGGTTAGAGAAGCTTCAAAGGGACTTTTCGTGGGGAAGTGGCAGTAACGAATTCCGATATCACTTGGTTGACTAGGGGTGGATTTGCCAGTCTAAGCAAGCAGGGACCTGGGGGTGAGGCGGTTGGGAACTTTCAATAGAGCCTTGCTAGGGACATGGTTATGGCATTTTGCCTTGGAGCCAGATAGATTATGGCGGAGGGTGATTGCTTCTAAGGATGGCTTGGGTAGGGGGGATTGGGTTACTGGGAATGTGGCTCGTTCGCATGGGTGTGGCTTGTGGACAGGGATTTGGCTGGAGAGGGTGGAGTTTTGGAGGTGGGTAGGATTTAGGATAGGAGAGGGATTGAGGGTGAGGTTCTGAAAGGATAGGTGGTGTGGGGAGGTCTTATTGGAGATTCGTTTCCCGTTGATCTTTGTCATTGTTTATTGTCTACATGGATATTTATAATTGGCTCACTTGTTTAGACATAATTATTAAGAAATCAATGAAAACAAATTACATATTGTCATAGAGAAATTCTTATTTGGGGGGTGGGGGTGGGGGGGTGGTGGTTTGGGATATTCAGTTGTGACGGCCGGTGCAAGACTGGGAGGTGGTTCAGTTGATGGAGTTGTGGGGTTTCTTGTATGGTTTAGGTCTTACTGGGGTGGGGTCCGATGTTATGGCGTGGAATGGGATGGAGGCCAAGGGATAGTTCACAGTTTCTTTATTTTATGGGGGTTTGGTAGGGGATTGTAGTTGGATGTTTCCTTGGAAGAGTGTTTGGGTGCCTTTTGTCTCGTCTAAGGTGATTTTCTTTATGTGGACATCGACTTTGGAGAAGAATCTTACGTTCGACAATCTGATTAGGCGTGGGCATGCATTAATGAATCAATGTTGTATGTGTTATGCTAATGCATAGTCGGTGGATCATTTGTTTCTGCATTGTGAGATTTTATTTTCTCACTCTTTGGGGTTGTTTGGGTTCAGCCCCAAGGGGTGTTGGCTATGCTTTGGGCTCGGCAAGGTGCTCAGATTGGTCGCTAAAGGCGGCGGGTGTGGCTGTTGGCACCGTTTTGCTTGATGTGGCTTGTATGGTTGGAGTGAAATAGACGAACCTTTCAAGAGGTTCATCATGGTGTTCTTTGGTTAGAGAATTAGCTTCTTGTAATTTTGTATAGTTGGTTGGAGAGATCAGTAGATCCAGATTTGTTTGTTTTTTTAGATTTTCTAGATGATATAATTGGGTACTGCTTGGTTAGGGTTTCCCTTTTTGGGGTGCTCTGTTGTATTCATTGCATCATCTTGATGCCTTTTCGAATAAATGCTTTATTTATGGGCAAATTACAGCAGTAGTCCCTGTAATTTACCTTTTTTTCATTTTGGTCCCTGTTGTTTCAATTTGATCAATTTTGCCCCTTAATTTTACAGATTGTGTCATATTAGTCCAATAAATAACGGCGGTTAAGTTTGATGGACGAAAAATCAAATGATGTTTCAATTTGGTCCCTGTAGTTTACAAGATGTGTCAATTGGGTCCATGTTGTTTTGAATTTCCGATAAACTATAGGGACCAAATTGGTACATCCTGTAAACTACAGGGACCAAATTGAAACATCATTTGATTTTTCATCCATCAAACCTAACCGTTATTGTTTATTGGACTAATATGACACAATCCGTAAAATTATGGGGAAATATTGATCAAATTGAAACAACAGGGACCAAAAATGAAAAAACGAGTAAACTATAGAGACCATTTGCATAATTTACCCATTATTTATCCCAAAAAAAAAAATTTAATATCAAGAAGCAAGCATTTGCAAATGGAATTGTTGTAATCCATGTATTGATCATTACCTAGCAACCCATTTGGTCCAAAGTCGTTGATAAAACATGTAGTTTGTTTGTACTTGTTTTAATTAGTCTCATGGTCTATCCTTATTGCAACTGGCCCACATTTCCACAAATATTTATCAAGGGGGAGTTCATCGGAGGATCAGACATTATTCTCAATATGCACCAGGTATTATCATATCAAATTTGTTCTTCTTCTTAAGCCTGGGATACATCATACATTGTTTTTATGGTTTGGTCTGTTATGTAGACTGGTGAGTTGAAGGAAATGCTTAAAGATATTGATGCCAACTAGGAGAGATCGGAGTAACTCATGATTGTTGGCCATGTATAGTTACATAAGAATTTGGAGTTGTCTTTGATGTTTTAATTTCTTTTGAGGTAATATAAGCATGTTAAATTTATGTCCGGTTAAAAGACCCTGCTTTAGCGGGAAGTTCATGCACTGAGTTACTCCTTATAAGTATGTTAAACTACGAATAATTGTTGACTTAATCCAATAATGGTTTGCGCAAGTATGGATTCAAAAATTGTATATGTATAGCATTACTCCATGAAAATTTACACACAAAATTATATATATTACTGCAGTCCACCTTTTATTTTGGTGTGTAGCACAATGAAACAACTCAAGTTGGTACAATATTTAGCACAATATACGCAGCAGAACCAAGGAAAATATCTCTCTATCTCTCTTCAAATCTAATAATACATGATCACACTACTGCTTCTTATTTCTTTAATTCAGAGGACTGCTAAAATTCACGACTAACAGAGGAAGAATCTATCTATCCACTAGCCGTAGCAATTTCAGGGGTACTGACATCCTTAATAATCACCACATGATGATAATGTTTTTTGCTGTGACCTCCACGTTTGCCATGGCGATGGAGCCTTTTGCTAGGACTGCCACCACCGTAACCATGATGTATCCAACCATGATTGTGATGTCCTCCACGGTGACAACTACCGCGACCACCATGTCTATGATCACCATGACTGTTGTGGGGACATATTTTGTGAATTACAACACGTAGCCAAGGTGACACTGAAGTGTCAGCCGAGGTGCCACGTGTCATGGTCATGGCGCCAAGGTTATCTCGGCTAAGCCGAGGTTATCTACAGAGATATGGGAATCCGAGATGATTGGATAAGGGACAAGAGTCTTAGAATGGGGAGGACCTCAGTGCAGAGATACGAGAATCTGAGATGATTGGATAAGGAGCAAGAGTCCTAGAATGGGGAGGACCTCAGTGTTGATAAAGATGAAGCTCTTAGGGAGTTTATCTTTATCTATTTGAGAGTCCAGAGTCCAAGAGAAGCTAGGCTTCTATGGGGATCAGGTTAGTGTTGGCTATAAAAGTAAGGCACCCTCGTGGGTCTAAGGTACCCTTTTTGTATTATGGCTAGTGAGTTGAGCACTAATTGCTATCTTTGAGAGATAACTGAGTATTGACTTGATCGTCGGAGTGCCCCCAGGTGGACGAACTACCGTCGGAGTCTTATCTTTCTGTGACAGGTTGTTTGGGCGAGATCTATTCTGCCAATACTCTCCAGCAGGGTACCTGTTTGACAGCATGGTTAGAAATCAACACACACAATTTGGCGCCATCTGCGAGAAGTGTAAGAAGAATAGATGGCCAACGACGGGCAAAAAGAAAGAGTTGGGGGCGACATCCCTAGTGGAAGTGGTAAAAATGCCGATCTTAACGCAGAGGAGGACAACTGCAATGAAGAACCTCGGGATAAGAATCCCGGAGAAAAAGACGTCAGTCAAGAGAGAGATGTACCAAAGAAAGCATGTTAGGACGGGTATTACAACGAAAGCGACCTCCAGGTATGGAAAGATAGATGCCTGAGGAGGGATGGCAAGATAAAGGGAATGGCAAACAAATTGGTAGACCTAAAATCGGTCATCAATTTCATGATGCAGAACAACGTCATGCAGCCACTATTCCCATTGGACGACACGCCGATTCCAGCGGCCAAGAACGATGCCTAGAAAGGGGGGCAAAAAGCAATCCCTGCAGTCCATCAGCATGATAGGGGAAGGGAGCATTCGCATCAACCTTCATGGGAGGTCGGGCGAGGAGAATTGATAAGAGCAAGGTCTCAAAAGACACATCATGCCAAAGAAACCTACGCCAAAGAACATCGGCATGTTCAAGGAAAGGAACTTTGCTTTGACATGACGAATAGAAGGAGGTCCAAGAGGATTCACAACGACACCGAGAGCAGCACACCAAAAAGGCTGAAATCCGTTGACAGCCGAGCTCGTGGATGGACCAAGGAGTATTTGAGGGATTACCTCTAGAGAAAGTGACAAGATGCCGAGGTAACATCTCCGGTCAAGTCGAGAATGCCATTTTCAGTAGAATTGGACAAGTTTGAGGCCCCAAAAAGGTTCCACATCCCAAGATTCCAGATATACGATGGTAAGTCTGATCCCAACTTCCATGTCGGCTTATACTTGAACTCAATGGCACTGTACATCGGGAACGAGCCGTTGCTCTACAAGGTGTTCCCCTCATCCTTTGGGGAAATTGCATCAGATTGGTTTCACAAGTTGCCGAAAGGAACTATGAAAAGATGGGAAGGCCTGGCCGAGATGTTTGTGGCCAAGTTTGTTACAAACAAACTACAGCCGTTAAGGTTAGGCTCCCTGATGGCTTTGAGAATTGGCGAGGATGAAAGCTTCAGGGCTTATGCCAAGAGGTATTATGAGGTGTTTAACCGAATACCAAGGTGCAACCAAGAGGTGGCAATCGTGTCTTTTAAGAACGGCCTGAATGATGACTGTCTACTTCGAAAATCACTGGCAAAGACACTGCCAAAAAGTATGAAAGAACTCATGGCCAGAATCGAGCAATATGCGAGAGTGGAGAAAGACACGCTGAGGACAAAGGTGTCAAAGCAAGAGAAGAGGAACGGCTTGCCGAAGCGAGGCCGAGGTAATACAAACTTTAATAGACAAGAAACAGGACTGAGGGCTACACAGGTAGTCACCACAATGTTCCGGATCCCAGTTTACAAAGTCTAGGAAAGAATTAGGAATCATCCTTACTATAGAGCACCATAGAAGATTCCTGACGAATTTTTGGGAAGAAGTTTGGGGAAGCGATGTGTCTACCACAATGAGGATGGGCATCTGACTCAGGGGTGCAGAGCCCTAAAGGCACATCTAGAAGATCTGGTAAGACAATGTCATCTAAGGGACCTAGTAGATGAGGCTAGGACAAGGGAAAAGCAAGCAAGGCTACTCCAAGCATCAGTAGGACCACCTCCACCAGCACCACAACTGCAAGCAGACAGACCTCGAGTGATCAATGTGATTCACTCGAAGGTCAATGAGAATGAGGTATGTGAGGAGACTAAGAGGGTGAAACACTTACAGAATGTGTATTAGGTCCGGCAAAAAAGGCCTAGGGCAGAGGAGTGCTAGGGACCAATGGTGTCTTTTACTGAAGCTGACCTAGACATGGTGTAGCATCCACACAATGATGCTCTGGTAATATCCCTCAAGGTTGGAGAGTGCTAGGTAAAGCGCATTCTGGTTGACCAAGGCAGCTTTTGTGACATCATGTATGTCAGATGTTACAAGGAGTTCGGCCTTCACCAAGATGATTTGGAGCAGTCCAACAGTTCAATGGTCGGGTTCAATGAAACGCCAACGTGGGCGCTAGGAGCAATAAGTTTGAAGGTGCAGGCAAGCACCAAGAAGGTAAACACAGAGTTCACAATAATTAACACCCCCTCCCTTTTCAATGTTATCTTGGGAAGGCCATGGCTGCATGCAATGAGGGTTGTTCCCCCAACACTGCACCAGCTGTTGCGGTTCCCAACAGAGCATGGAATTGAGGAGGTTAAAGGGGATCAGGTGTAGGCAAAGAATTGCTCCATGGCCGCAATGAAACCCACCTGTAACGTACGACAAGCAGACACAGTCGAGATTGAAGACGAGGACATGGAGGTCCTGGATGACGTTGGCAATGAAGCAGTTGAGAAGAGTGGAAAAGCCTTAAAGAAGATTCTAGTCCAACAAGGGCACGAAGAGCGTTTCTTCATTCTTGGCTGAGGCTAGGCCGAGGAGGAGGAAAGAGAGTTAGAAGCCTTCTTGCGAGCAAACATTGAGGTATTTGCCTGGACACCATATGAGATGCCTGGCATTGACCCCGAGGTCACTTGCCATAGACTGAATGTGGACAGGTTGGCTAAACCTGTCATCCAACGAGCAAGGAGGCCAACATTAATGCATGTCGAAGTAGTAGAAGAGGAGGTGGGAAAACTACTGGAGGCCAGAGCCATTCGAGAGATAAACTACCCAACTTGGTTGTCAAACACAGTTGTTGTGAAAAAGAAGATTGGGAAGTGGAGGGTCTGTGTGAACTTCACTAGCCTAAATAAGGCTTGTCCCGAAGACAGTTTCCTACTTCCCAAAATCGATCAACTGGTAGATGCCACTTCAGGACATGGAAGGATGAGCTTCCTAGATGCTTATAGGGGGTACCATCAAATAGCAATGTACCCCCTGATAAAGAGAAGACTGCATTCATCACCTTAAAAGGACTGTATTGCTACAGAGTGATGCCTTTCGGGTTGAAAAATGTAGGAGCAACCTACCAGAGGTTGGTGACCAAGATGTTTAGACATTTAATTGGAAAAACAGTGGAAGTATACATCGACGACATGGTCGTGAAGACCAAGGAACCTGAGGATCACCTGGCTGACTTGACGGTAATTTTCGACATCCTGAAAACATATCAACTCCAACTCAATGCTTCAAAATGCACATTTGGAGTTGGGTCTGGTAAATTCTTAGGATACTTGGTTACCAGAAGGGGTATTAAGGCAAGCCCAGATCAAATCAAGTTCATCCTGGACTTGAAGAGCCCAACGTTGGCAAAACAAGTGCAGATGTTGGCTGGAAGGGCCACAGCCCTGAATAGGTTCATAAGCAGAAGTTCTGACAAATGCAAATCATTTTTTAGTTTGGTGAAGAAGGCCACAGATTTTTTGTGGACAAAGGAGTGCGAAGTCGCCTTGGCCGACTTAAAAAAAATACCTGACCACAGATCTAGTTCTCTCAAATCCAGTACCTGGAGAGGAGCTATTCTTATACTTGGTGGTTTCAGAGCATGCAGTGAGTGCAGTGGTAATCAGAGAAGAGAAGGGAGAACAAAGGGCAGTTTACTATGTGAGTAAAACCCTAGCAAGCACAGAGACCAGGTATCTACCCCTGGAGAAATTGATACCGACCTTGTTAATGACCTCGAAGAAGTTGAACCACTATTTCCA